ATTCCAAAGATATGGCAATTATGAGAAGCTATTATATTTAATATCACACCAAATAAATAAAATAATAAATATGACAAAGATTTAACTTATTCAGGTAATTCATCTGGTAGAGTTAAATCAATCTGTTGAGAATCTACAAAAGTAGTTAATTCAATTGGTTATAATATTTAAGTGGATATTAATTAATATTAAAAATTTTAAACATGAAAATAATCAATGATTAAATGTTAATAATTACCATCATTGCCACCAATAATTGTTATTTTATTGGAGTTCACAGGTTGGGGAAGACTTGTAAATTTCAATAATCTACTGGTGTAAACTGCATTTGGATGAATTGCTGAAGTAATTGTCAAAGGATCAAATTCTATTTTATCCATTTTATCAAATATTTTTCTAATTGATTCTAATTCATCCTGCTCATTTGAATATCCATAAACTTCAGGATTATTCATTACATAACCACCATTAAGTGATTTACTCCAAAGGTGAATAATCTCATTAATTTCTCTAGCAGATGGACGTTTATCTGGATTAGCATCCATGCATCTGAATGCTAGTTCAATATAGAATTTTGGTGTGTTGTTTGAGAATCCAGGTCTTATACCTTCACATATTTTCATTGCAAGGCCAAAATTATGTGCCAAATTATTATGTGGTTGTTGGCCAGTTGATACTACAGACATCAGAATTCCAAAACTATATATATCTGATGCTGTTGTGTATGGTTCCTTCCTTAAAATTTCTGGTGCAACATATGGCATTACTCCAAATATGTCATTTTGGTTTGATGCAGATGCTTGACTAGCTGGATGTGATAACCCTAAATCTGCAATCCATGAATGAATAGAATATTGAAGAATATTACCACTATGAAGATCATGATGAATAATTTCTTCTTCATGAATATCCTTTAAACCATTAATAATCTCATAAAGAATATAAATTTTGTTTCTCCAATTTAAATTTTTAAAATCATTTGTTAAATAATTGTGAAGACTTCCATCTTCTATATAACTCATTACAAATATATATTCCTTTGTAATTGGATCTTGTGATAATCCATAAATATGAATTACATAATTTTTATCATGAAACTTCATATAATTTTTGAACTAAATAACAAATAAAATATTTAATTACAACAACAATGAACAATAATATTTAAA